AGGGCTGAGTCCCAGAAACTGCTTCCCTGCAAACCTCTACAAATATGCCGTGCAAGCACACAGACCTTCCTCTCTTGTGGACATTTAATACCACAATTGATTATTTATTAGCAACCAAGAAAAACTTCGTTCCAGTATTAGTTTGCTAGGGCTGTTATACCAAGGCGCCACAGACCGGACGGCTTAAACAACAAATCCATCCCCTCACAATTCTGAGGGCTAGGACTCTAAGATCAAGGTGTCGGCAGGGCTGGTTTCTCCTGAGGCCTCGCTCCTTGGCTTGTGGATGGCCGTCTTCTCTCCATGTCCTCACATGGTCGTCCCTCTGTGGGTGTCTGTGTCCTGATCTCCTCTTCTTATAAGGACCCCCGTCATGTTGGAGTAGGGCCCACCTTACTATCCATGTTTTACCTTAATTGCCTCTTTAAAGAGCCTGTCTCCAAATGCAGCCACATTCAGAGGTACTGGCGGTTATCACTTGAATACAAAAGTTTTGGGGGATACAATTCAGTGCATAACAATTCCTCAAAGAAAAATCTTCTGCATCTCATCCTCTAGTTACAATGTAGCCAAAGAAGAAACCAGTACAAAGACACACTGCCATTGTTCTTTAAGGAACACAGTTCACTTTAGGGTTCACAGACTTCTCAATCAATTTCCAAGGAAAAGAGGCATCTTATCATCAAAAAAAAAAAAAAAAAAAAAAATCACAAAACACCGTGAGAGAGCAAGCAGAATCATAGGAAAGAAACTGAAGAGAGTGGATTATCAGACAACAGAATGTAATTATATTTTTTATTTTTATTTATTTATTTTTTTAAATATGCGTCATGTTTATTGATTGGGGTATATGATGACAAACATTTGGAGACTACAAATATGATAATTTTTTTTTTGTTTTGGGTGAGGAAGATTGGCCCTGAGCCAACATCTGTTGCCAATCTTCCTCTCTTCACTTGAGGAAGATTGTTGCTGAGCTAACATCTGTGTCAATCTTCCTTATTTTGTACATGGGATGCCACCACAGCATGGCTTGATGAGTGGTGTGTACATATGCACCCGGGAACCGAAACTGTGAACTCTGGGCCGCCAAAGTGGAGCACATGAACTTAACCACTACGACACCGGGCTAGCCCCTATACTTTTTATTTTTAAAAAGATGAAGAGTTTAACATTTTAGGGAAGTGACTCTAAATCATGACCATGGAGAGCTATAAGAGATTCGAGTAGGCCTTCTAGAAATGAAACTTATAATAAGAATTCAGCTAATATTAAACACTCTGGTATAATAGTCAATTAGACACAGCTACAGTACAGAACAAAACTAACAATTCAGAGATATTGTTGTCTCTGCAGAAAATCTCAAAGAACCTACAGATAAATTACAATTAATATGTGACTTTAGTGAAGGTGCTGGGTTACAAAAATTTGCTTAGAGTGAGGATTCTGGGAGGGTGGCAAGTAGGAAGCACCAGGAATGTGTCTCCCCACGGAAACAACGGTTGCACTGGCAGAATCTACCCAGTGTAACTATTTGGGACTCTGGAGTCTACTGAAGGCTTTCCACTCCCAGGGGAGGGCTTGTGCGGAAAGTTACAGTTAACTTCAGACATTTTCAGTTCTCAGCGCAGTAGCTGCCCACGCCCACCCTCAGTCCTCCGGCAGATAGCTGTGCACACAGGCTGCACACAGCTTGCAGGAGCCAGGGCGGCAAAAGGACCCTGTCTTCCAAACATCTGTACTGTGATCACTGATTGCTGCACCTGATTTCAGGGATCAGGTGCAAAGATAGGTGGCCGTTTTTGTTGCACCCCACATGCTGTGTCAAGCCTCTCTCCCTCTAGCTGAAGTGACTTCCAGGGAATTTAAAGATCCAGAGCCCTTCCCCCCTTCATTTTTCTCTTTTTCCCCTTTTGGGAGCCAGACATTAAAGACTGGGACATTCAAAAGCAACTACATATACAGGGAAAGTTAGAAAGTGACCACACATAGCCAAAAAAATACAGCCTCAGAAGAGACAAGAGAAGACCTTAAGTGTGCACCTCAGGCTGACCCTTGGAATAGGGACACCTTCAACAACAACAACGAAAACACAAAAAAACCCAACAAACCCTGGGGAAGGGGGAGAAACTGATCTCCAGAGGTACCACATTAGACTCAGATGTCCAGTTTTCAACAACAACAATAAAATCACAAGACATGCAACATGAAAGTACAGCCCATTCAAAGGAAAGGAAAAAATAAGACAGAAACTGTCCTTGAAAAAGACCTGATGGCAGATCTCCTAGACAAAGACTTTAAGACAACCATCTTAAAGATGCTCAAAGAACTGGAGAAAGTCAAGAAAATGACATATAAACAAAATGGAAGTGTCAAGAAAGAAGTAGAAAACCCAAAGTGAAACCAAAAAAATTCTGGAGGTAAAATGTACAGCAACTGAAATGAAAAGTTCACTAGAGAAATTCAAAGGCAGATTTGAGCAGGCGGAAGAAAATCAGCAAACTGGAAGATGGGCCAATGGAAATTGTCAAGGCTGAAGAACAGAAAGAAAAAAGATTGAAGAAAAGTGAACAAAGCGTAAGGGACTGTCAGAAACCATCAACTGGACCAATAGACACATCATGGGAGTCTCAGAAGGAGAAGAGGAGAAAAAAGGACAGGATATTTGAAGATATAATGGCTGAAAACGTCCCAAATTTGATGAAAAATGTGAATATAAACATACCAGAAACTCAATGAACTCCAAGTAAGATGGGCTTGAAGAGACCCACACTGACACGTTGTAATCAAACTTTTGAAAGACGAAAAACAGGGTCCAGCCCAGTGGTGCAGTGGTTAAGCATGCACGTTCTGCTTAGGTGGCCCTGGGTTCGCCAGTTCAGATCCTCGGTGCGGACATGGCACTGCTTGTCAAGCCATGCTGTGGCAGGCATCCCACACATAAAGTAGAAGAAGATGGGCACAGATGTTAGCTCAGGGCTAATTTTCCTCAAATAAATAAATAAAGACAAAAAACAAAGAATCTTGAAAGCAGCAAGAAAGAAGAAAATCATCACATACAGGGATCCTCAGTAAGTCTCAGCAGATTTCTCCCTAGAAACGCTGGAGGCCAAAAGACAGTGGGCCAATAGATTCAAAGAGGTGAAAAAACAATCAAGCAAAAAAAAAAACCCCTGTCAACCAAGAATCCTGTATCTGGCAAAACTGTCCTTCAATAGTGAGGGAGAATTTTAGATGCTTATAGACAAGCAAAGCTGAGGGAGTTTGTTAACACTGGACCTGTCCTGAAAGGAATACTCAAGGGCGTCCCACAGGTTAAAATGACAAGACATCAGACAGTAACTCAAAGCCATATGGAGAAATAAAGACCTAAAATAAAGATAAATACATGCATGGGCTGTTATAAAAGCTAGTATTATTGTAACTTTTGTTTGTAATTCCACAATTTTTTTCTATATAATTTGAGCTTAGTGCATTTAATTATTTGTTGTTTGGGGACACACAATGTATAAAGGTGTAGTTTTGTGACATCAATAACTGAAACCAGCAGGGACGGAGCTATAAAGGAGCAGCTTTTGTATGTTATTGAGGTGAAGCTGATATAAATTCAAATCGGAGTGTTATGACTTTAGGATGTTAAATGTAATTCCCATGGTAACCACAAAGAAAATCATAATAGAGTACACACTAAAGGAAATGAGGATTTTAAGTGTTTTACCACAAAAAGTCAAGTACATACAAAATATGACAGTAATACAGGAAATGAGGAACAAAAAGCTGTTAAGGCAAAGAGATAACATAGCCAAATGACAAGAGTCCCTCCTTATCCGTAATTACTTTAGATGTAAATGAATTAAATCCTCCAATCAAGAGACATATTGGCAGAATGGCTAAAAATACACGGTTCAACTTTACGTCTACAACAGACTTGCTTTAGATCCAAAGACACAAATTGATGGAAGGTAAAAAGGTAGGAAAAAGATGTTCCACGCAAATAGTAACCAAAAGAGAGCAGGGGTGGCTATACTAATATCAGACAAAATAGACTTAAAGTAAAAAAATGTTACAAGATGCAAAGGACGTTATGTATTAAAAGGTTCAATACAACAAGAAGATATAACGGACATAAACGTTCATACCTAGTGACAGACCAAACTGTGTGAAGCCAAAACACAGAATCGAAGGGAGAAACAGCTGTACCATAGTTGGAGACTTCGATACCCCACTCCCAATAATGGATAGAACAACCAGACAAAATAGAAGAATTTACCACCACAATGAGCCAACTATGTTTAACAGACATATACAGAACACTGTTTACAATAACAGCGTAAACATTCTTTTCAAGTGCACACGGAACCTTTTCTATCTTAGACCACAATGTCTCAATAGATTTGAAGAGAGAGATATATAAAAGTATCTTCTCTGACCACAATGGGATGAAATAAGAGATCAACAACGGCAGGCAAACTGGAATATTCACGTAGCTGTGGAAGTTAAACAACATACTCTTAAATAACCAATGGATCAAAGCAGAAATTGCAAGGAAAATTAGAAATTAGAGACAATTCAAAATTAAAGCACAAAATGCCAAAATATATGGGATGCAGACAAAGCAGTGCTAAGGAGATATTTATAGCTAGAAAAGTTTACATTAAAAACAAGAAATATTTCAAGTTGACAACCTAACTTCGCAACTTAAGGAACTAGGAAAAACTAAACCCAAAGGTAGGAGAAGAAATGAAATATAGAACAAAGATAGATGAAATAAATAGAAAAATAGAGAAAAAAATAGTCGGTGAAACAATAAGTTGGTTCTTTGAAAAAACAAAACTAACATTTAGCTAGACAGACTAAGAGAAAGAAAAGACAACGTACCAAAATGAAAATGGGGACGTTACTACCAGTTCTACAGAAGTAAAGAGGATTGTAGGAGAGTACCATGAACATTGTATGCAAACAAGTTGGATAACCTCAATGAAGTGGACAAATGCAGCCAGTTGGAACATGAAGCCGTTTTTTGAGATGTTTTATTCCAATTTCTACAAGTATAACCAGTTAAACCAAGGATTAAAGATTAAGAAAAAGGCTAGTCACCAGCTCATAAGAGAATAAATGCAACTGAATCAGCTTGCTTGGTCTTTGGTCTCAGCTAATTAAATGTCTTTTTTGATTGAGCAGTATACTATAATATTTGGACTAAAATCCAGGGAATCATGTCTCGGTCTGCTGTTTGTGTTCATGCAATTGTGGCAGATGATCCTGAGAAGCCTGTGTCCCAAGGCATTCCCTACAGTTTCAACAGTTCAAGACATTACTATATTCATTGGGGGCTCATTGAGTATTTCCTTCCAGAAGATTCCAACTCTCATCTGTAGTTTGAAGCAGAGGCTTTCAGTAGGTGTGAGGGAGAAGCAGAAACTACCTATTGATGACAATTACTGAGAGTCATTAATTCCTATTACAACCCACAAAGTCAGAAAGGAAGAGGACGGAGTTATCTCTTGACAATAGGATCAATTTAAGCATTTAATCAATGACTATCCCGGGAACGGACATTGGAGGAACTTCCAGATCGTTTTAGTTTATCCCATAAAATACGTTTGATCGTCACCATTGACAGCTGTTTTAGACCTGGAAACTACTTCTTCAAAAGTCAGTTTGGACTTGACTTTGAACAGCAACATGAGTAGGCTTCTATTGAAAGGTACACAATTGCTGAAACATTCTTATCAATATTTTATTTGAATATACAGAACCAAGGGATGTTGACATTTGATTTGCCAGGTTCTCTGGTTGCCGTCATGATAAACAGGGCAGTTGCAATAGCGCTGAGTGAAATTGAAATTAAACCTGGACAATACCAAACAAATCAAGTTACTCATCAGCAGCCTTTGTCTCCTGCAAGGAGAGAATAAATCTTTGATGTAGCCCACTGGCCACCTGGGAAATCCCGGGGAAAGACTGTTGTAAGGACACTGTTTGGATCTCTTTTTACCTTGAATTTGGGACAGGCAAGATCAGAGCAGTGAGAGGAAAGTGGCGCAAGACAACTCTTGAGGGCCTGAAGCCAAGAAATGGTTCTTTTTATTCTCGACAGAGATGAAACAGCAAATAGCTACAAAAACTAAAAGTTTTATTTTTGAAAAGCTAAGGACAATTCAAGAACATAGGAACAAATATCTTCCCTCTTTTGTAAAGAGCAGGCCATTTACTCAAAGATTAACTTGTCATGTGACAGGTACAAAAAGTCAGCGGGGGTTTTCTAACATCTAATGTATTGTATTGCTGTGAGAGATTCTTAAGCCTTTAACATCTTATATATACTGAGCCATCAACACTGAGCCAACTTGGTTAATTTTAACACTATTTTGCTTTTTTCAGGCTTTCCTGTAGGAATTGGAGATCAAGACACTATGATCACTTTCCTTAGATCTTTTGGCTTACTGAACTCCTCAGATGGTTCCCCTCACCTTCTGTCACCTTCAACCCAGGCTTGAGGACAGTTAGTCTCTCCCTTTATTTAATTTTTATCTTTTGTTTTTTATTGAGTTCATAATAGTTTACATCATTGTGAAATTTCAGCTGCACGTTATTTATTGTCTGTCACCACATGAGTGCTCCCCTTCACCAGCTGTGCCCACTCCTCACCCCTCTTCCCTGGTAACCACTGAATTGTTTTCTTTGTCCATGTGTTTGTTTATATTCCACATGTGAGTGAAATCATCTCATGTTTGTCTTTCTCAGTCTGGCTTATTTCGCTTAGCACAATACCCTCCATGTCCATCCATGTTGTTGCAAATAGGATGATTTTGTCTTTTCTATGGCTGAGCGGTATTCCATTGTATATACACCACATCTTCTTTATCCAGTCATCAGTCGATGGGCACTTGGGTTGTTTCCATGTCTATTGTGAATAGTGCTGCAATGGACATAGGGGTGCATATGTCACTTTGGATTGTTGACTTCAAGTTATTTGGGTAGATACCCAGTAGTGGGAGAGCTGGGTCATAGGATATTTCTATTTTTAGTTTTTTGAAGTATTTCCATACTGTTTTCCATAGTGGCTGCACCAGTTTGCATTCCCACCAGCAGTGTATGAGGGTTCCCTTCTCTCCAACATTTGTTATTTTTAGTCTTACTGATTATAGCCTTCTTAACAGGTGTAAGGTGCTATCTTAGTGTAGTTTTGATTTGCATTTCCCTGATGATCAGTGATGTTGAACATCTTTTCATGTGTTTATTGGCCGTCTGTATATCTTCTTTGGAAAAATGTCTGTTCATCTCTGCCCATTTTTTGATTGGACTGTTTGTTTTTTTTGTTATTCAGTTGTGTGAGTTCCTTATGTATTATGGAGATTGACCCCTTGTCAGTTATATGATTTGTAAATATTTTCTCCCAGTTGGTGGATTGTCTTTCTGTTTTGATCCTAGTTTCTTGTCCTTTGCAGAAGCTCTTTAGTCTGATGAAGTTCCACTTGTTTATTTTTCCTTTTGTTTCCCTTGTCTGAGAAGACATGGTATTCAAAAAGATCCTTTTGAGTTCGATGTCAAAGAGTGTACTACCTATATTATCTTCCAGGAGTTTTATGGTTTCAGGACTTATCTTTAAGTCTTTGATCCATTTTGAGTTTATTTTTGTGTATAGCATGAGATAATGATCTACTTTCATTCTCTTGCATGTGGCCGTCCAGTTTTCCCAGCACCATTTATTAAAGAGACTATCTTTTTTCCATTGTATGTTCTTGGCACCTTTGTTGAAGATTAGCTGTCCATAGATGTGTGGTTTTATTTTTCGGCTTTGAGTTCTGTTCCATTGATCTGTGTGTCTTTTTTTGTACCAGTACCGTGCCGTTTTGATTACTATGGCTTTGTAGTACATTTTTTTTTAAAGATTTTATTTTTTATTTTTTTTCCCCCAAAGCCCCCTGGTACATAGTTGTATATTCTTTGTTGTGGGTCCTTCTAGTTGTGGCATGTGGGACGCTGCCTCAGCTTGGTTTGATGAGCAGTGCCATGTCCGCACCCAGGATTCGAACCAACAAAACACTGGGCCACCTGCAGCGGAGCGCGCAAACTTTAACCACGCGGCCACAGGGCCAGCCCCTATAGTACATTTTGAAGTCAGGGATTGTGATGCCTCCAGCTTTGTTCTTTTTCTCACGATTGCTTTAGCAATTCAGGGTCTTTTGTTGCCCCGTATGAATTTTAGGATTCTATATCCATGAAGAATGTCATTGGGATTCTGATTGGGATTGCATTGAATCTGTAGATTGCTTTGGGTAGTATGGATATTTTAACTATGTTTGTTCTTCCAATCCATGTGCATGGAATCCCTTTCCATGTCTTTACATGGTTATCTGTTCCTTTCAATAATGTCCTATACTTTTCATTGTATATGTCCTTCACCTCCTTGGTTAAACTTATTCCCAGATACTTTATTCTCTTTGTTGTGATTGTAAATGGAGTTGTATTCTTGAGTTTTCTTTCTGTAAGTTTGTTATTAGAGTATAGAAAAGTAACTGATTTTTGTAAGTTGATTTTGTACCCTGAAAATTTACTGTAGTTGTTAATTATTTCTAATAGTTTTCCAATGGATTCTTTAGGGTTTTCTATATATGAGATCATGTCTGCAAACAACAAGAGTTTCAATTCTTCATTCCCTACTTAGATTCCTTTTATTCCTTTCCCTTGCCTAATTGCTCTAGCCAAAACCTCTAGTACTATGTTGAATAAGAGTGGTGAGAGTGGGCACCCTTGACTTGTTCCTGTTCTCAGAGGGATGGGGTTCAAGTTTTCCCCATTGAATATGATGTTGGCTGTGGGTTTGTCATATATGGCCTTTATTTTGTTGACGTAACTTCCTTCTATCCCCATTTTGTTAAGAATTTTTATCATAAATGGCTGTTGGATCAAATGCTCTCTCTGCATCTATTGACATGATCATATGGTTTTTATTCCACATTTTGCTAATGTGGTGGATCACATTGATTGATTTGGGGATGTTGAACCATCCCTGTGTCCCTGGTATAAATCCCACTTGATTGTGATGTATGATCTTTTTGATGTATTGCTGTATTCAGGTTGCCAGTATTTTGTTGAGGATTTTTGCATGTATGTTCATCAGTGATATTGGCCTGTAGTTTTCCTTTTGTGTGTTGTCCTTGTCAGGCTTTGGTATCAGAGTGATGTTGGCCTTGTAGAATGTGTTAGGAAGTGTTCCATCTTCCCTAATTTTTTGGAATAGCTTGAGAAGGATAGGTATTAAATCCTCTCTGAAAGTTTGGTAGAATTCTCCAGGGAAGCCATCTGGTCCTGGGCTTTTATTTGGGGGGATGCTTTTGATTGTTGTTTCAATCTCTTTACTTGTGATTGGTCTATTCAGATTATCTATTTCTTCTTGATTCAGCTTTGGGAGGTTGTAAGAGTCTAAGAATCTATCCATTTCTTCTAGATTGTCTATTTTGTTGTTATATAGCTTTTCATAGTATTCTCTTATAATCGTTGTATTTCTGTGGTATCTGTTGTTAGTTCTCTTCTTTCATTTCTAATTTTATTTATCTGAGCTTTCTCTCTTTTTTCTGTGTATGTCTGGCTAGGGGTTTGCCAGTTTTATTTATCTTCTCGAAGAACCGGCTCTTTTTTTCATTGATCCTTTCTACTGCCTTTTTTGTTTCAATTGCATTTATTTCTGCTCTGATTTTTATTATTTATCTCCTTCTGCTGACCTTGGGCTTTGTTTGTTCTCCTTTTTCTAATTCAGTTAGGTGTAGTTTGAGATTGCTTATTTGAGATTTTTCTTGTTTGTTAAGGTGAGCCTGTATTGCGATGGATTTCCATCTTAGGACCACTTTTGCTGTATCCCATATGAGTTGGTATGGTGTGTTTTCATTTCCATTTTTCTCCAGATATTTTTTTATTTCTCCTTTACTTTCTTCAATGATCCATTGCTTGTTCAATATCATGTTGTTTAGTCTCCACGTCTTTGTCCCTTTCTCAGCTTTTTTCTTGTAATTAATTTCTAGCTTCATGGCACTGTGTTCAGAAAAGATGCTTGTTATTATTTCAATCTTCTTAAATTTATTGAGGCTTGCCTAGTTTCCCAACATATGGTCTGTCCTTGAGAATGTTCCGTGTGCACTTGAGAAGAATGTGTATTCTGCCATTTTTGGATGGAGTGTTCTATATATATCTGTTAAGTCCAGCTGGTCTAGCTTTTCATTTAACTCCACTGTTTCCTTGTTGATTTTCTGTCTGGATGATCTATCCATTGCTGTGAGTGGAGTATTGAGGTCCCCTACTATTATTGTGTTATCATTAATATCTCCTTTAGGTTTGTTAATAGTTGCTTTATGAACTTTGGTGCTCCTGTGTTGGGTGCATAGATATTTATAAGTGTTATTTCTTCTTGATGGAATGTCCCTTTGATCGGTACACACTGTCCCCTTTGTCTCTCTTTACCTGTCTTATCTTGAAATCTACTTTGTCTGATATAAGTATCGTGACACCTACTTTCTTTATTTTGCCATTAGCTTGGAGTATCATCTTCCACCCCTTCACTCTGAGCCTGTGTTTGTCATTGGAGCAGAGATGTGTTTCCTGGAGGCAGCATAGTGCTCGGTCTTGTTCTTTAATCCATCTCGCCACTTTGTCTCTTTTTATTAGAGAACTCAATCGATTTACATTTAGGGTGATTATTGATATATGAGGGCTTAATGCTGCCATTTTGTCACTCGTTTTCTGGTTCTCCTGCATTTCCTTTGTTTGTTATGCCTTGTCTTTTGGTCTACCAGTTGGGTTATGTAGTTTTTTATGTTGTGTTTCTTAGTTTTCTCCTTATTCATTATTTGTGTCTCTGCTCTGCTTTTTTGTTTAGTGGTTACCATGAGGTTTGTATTCAAAATCTCGTAGATAAGATAGTCCATTTTCTGATGGCCTCTTATTTCCTTTGACTAAACCGATTCGGTCCACTTCCTCTTCCACTCCTATGTTATTTTTGTCACATCTTATTCCACCTTGTCTTGTGAGTTTGTGGTTAAAATGACAAGATTATCTTTGTTTTTGGTGTTTTACTTCCCTTTATCTTTAATGTTATACTTGAGTATTTACTAACCTCTTCTGATGTATAGCTACAATTTTCTGATTTTTTTCTACCTATGTATCTCCTTACTCTATGCTTTGTAACCCCTTTCTTCCTTTTTTTTTCAAGTATGATGGCCTTCTCGAGGATTTTTTGTGTGTGGGGGTGGGGGGGAGTCGTGTGGCTACAAACTCCCTTAGCTTTTGTTTATGTGGGAAGGTTTTTATTTCTCCATCAAATCTGAAGGATATTTCTGCTGGATAGAGTATTCTTAGCTGAAAGTGTTTGTCCTTCAAAGATTTGCATATATTATTCGAGTCTCTCCTAGCCTGTAAGTTTCCTGTTGAGAAATCTACTGAAAGCCTGATAGGGGTTTCTTTGTAAGTTATTTTCTTCTGCCTTGCTGCCCTTAGTACTTTTTCTTTGTCATTCACTTTTGCCAGTTTCACTACTATATGCGTTGCAGTAGGTCTTTTTACACTGACATATTTAGGAGATCTGATAGACTATTTCACTTGGATTTCCATCTCCTTCCCCAGGTTTGGGAAGTTCTCTGCTATTATCTCTTTGAACAAGCTTTCTGCTCCATTCTCCTTCTCTTCTCCCTCTTGAATACCTATAATTATTATATTTCATTTCCTAATTGGGTCAGATATTTCTCAGAGACTTTCTTCATTTCTTTTTAGTCTTAGTTCTCTCTCCTCCTCTGTCTGGAGCATTTCAACTTGTCTATCCTCGATTATGCTGATATGCTCTTCTACGATGTCTGCTCTAGCATTCAGGAAATCCATGTTTTGTTCTATCTCATTGATTGTGTCTTTCACCTCCAATATTTCTGATTGGTTCTTCTTTATAGTTTCAATCTCTCTTGTGAAGTAGCTCCTGAACTCGTTGAATTGTTTCTGTACATTCTCTTTTAACTTGTTGAGTTTTCTGATGGTAGCAATTTGGAATTCTGTCATTAGATTATATATTTCTGTGTCTTCAGGATTGATTTCTGGGTACTTGTCATTTTCCTTCTGGTATGGATATTTGATATATATATTTTTTAAGATTTTATTTTTCCTTCTTCTCCCAAAGCCTCCCTGTACATAGTTGTATATTTTAGTTTTGGGTCCTTCTAGTTGTGGCATTTGGGACACTGCCTCAGCATGGCTTGATGAGTGGTGCTGGGTCCATGCTCAGGATCCAAACTGGTGAAATGCTGGGCCACTGAAGCAGAGTGCATAAAGTTAACCACTGGGCCATGGGGCTGCACCTATAATTGTTGATACTGCTAAAGGGCACGGCTTTGTTCTTCTGCATTGTGGTATTATTGATTGCCATTACCACCTATTGCCACTGGGTAGGGGTCAAGCGCTGCATATTCTGAGCCCTCTGTGTTCCACAGGGATCCCAGGTGCTGGAGCCTGCTGCTGGGCGGGTAGGGGGACAGACATATTCTTCTTCTGCGTGCTCTCAGGGGCTTCTTGCTCTGCCCTATCTGCTTTCTTGAGGTGTTGGCTAGATGAAGTCATTCCCCCAATAGCTAGTCACCTCAGTAAGGGACTTTCCCCTAGGCTGCGAGGAACCTTAGGGATCTATGATTTTCCCATGAAGGGGCATCCCCCTCCCCCTTTCCTTCCCTCTCAGAGGCCACACGCAATCCCTGAATCTCAGGCTTTAGGGGTGGGAGTGAAGCTTTCTCTTACCTCTTTCCACCTCCTCCAAGGGAGGGCTCCAGCACCTCCACTTTCTGATGTATGGCTGCATGGGTCTCTCAGACATCTTTTGTGTTGTGTGGATGTCCTATGTTGGAATATGAATGTCCTTTTTGTTGTATCCTGGAAGGGAGAGTTCACCAGGCAAGCACACTCCACCATGATGCTGATGTCAGTCTCCATGCTCTTGGATTAGAAGAATTAACATAGTTAAAATGTCCATACTTCCTAAAGCAATCTACAGATTCAATGCAATCCCTATCAAAGATCCAACAACATTTTTCACAGAAATGGAACAAAGAATACTAAAATTTATACGGAACACAAAAGACCCTGAATAGCCAAAGGAATCCTGAGAAAAAAGAACAAAGCTGGAGGTATCACACTCCCTGATTTTAAAATATACTACAAAGCTAAGGTAACCAAAATAGCATGGTACACAAAAACAGGCACACAGATCAATGGAATAGAATTGAAAGCCAAGAAATAAAATCACACATCTATGGACAAATAATTTTCAACAAAGGAGCCAAGAACATACAATAGAGGAAGGAAAGTCTCCAATAAATGGTGTTGGGAAAACTGGACAGCCACATGCAAAAGAATGCAAGTAGACCGTTATCTTACACCATACACAAAAATTAACTCAAAATGGATTAAATACCTGAATGTAAGACCTGAAACCATGAAACTTCTAGAAGAAAACATCAGCAGTACACTCTTTGACATCAGTCTGAGCAGCATATTTTCAAGTACCGTGTCTGATTGGGCAAGGGAAACAAAAGAAAAAATAAACAATGGGACTACATAAAAATAAAAAGCTCTGCACAGCAATGGAGACCATCAACAGGACAAAAAGACAACCTAACAATTGGGAGAAGATATTTGCAAACCGTATATCTGATAAGGGGTTAACATCTAAAATATACAAAGAACTCATACGTCTTAACAAAAAAACCCTAACAACCCAATTAAAAAATGATCTGAACAGACATTTCTCCAAAGAAGGTATACAGATGGCCAACAGCCATATGAAAAGATATTCAACATCATTAACTATCAGGGAAATACAAATCAAAACTACAATGAAATATCACCTCACTCCCATCAGAATGGCCATAATTAACAAGGTAGGAAACAATAAGTGTTGGAGAGGATGTGGAAGAGAAGGGACCCTCATACACTGCTGGTGGGAGTGCAAACTGGTGCAGCCACTATGGAAAACAGTATGGAGATTCCTCAAAAAATTATAATAGATCTACCATATCATCCAGCTATTCCACTGCTGGGTATTTGTCCAAAGAATATGAAAACAAGAATTCATAAAGATACATGCACCCCTATGTTCATTTCAGTGTTATTCACAATAGCCAAGACTTGGAAGCAACCTAGGTGCCCATCAAGGGAGGAATGGATAAAGAAGACGTGGTAAATATACACAATGGAATACTGCTTAGCATAAAAAACGATGAAATCTGACCATTTGTGACAACATGGATGGACCTTGAGGGTATTATGCTGAGTGAAATAAGTCAGAGGATGAAAGTCAAATACCATATGATCTCACTCATAAATAGAAGATAAGAACAACAGTAAACAAACACACGGAGACAGATACTGGATTAGTGGTCACCAGAGGGGAGGAGGGGAGAGAGGAGGGCAAAAGAAATGATTAGGCACATGTGTGTGGTGATTGATTGTAATTAGTCTTTGCGTCGTGAACATGATGTAATCTACACAGAAATCGAAATATATAATGATGTACACCTCAAATTTGTAAAATGTTATAAACCAATGTTACTGAAGTTAAAAAATAAAATAAATGTCCTCATCACAAGAAAAAATATTTGTAACTATTTATGGTGATGGATGTTAACTAGAGTTACTGTAGCGATCATTTTGAAATATATACAAATATCAAATCATTATGTTGTACACCTGAAACTAACATAATGTTATATGCCAATTATACATCAATTAAAAAAAACACAAAGAAAAAATGAAACAGAAATCCTTGAGATGAAGAACACAATGAATAAGTTAAAATCAGTCTAGAAACTTTAAACAACAGAGCTGACATTATGGAGAACAGAATTAGTAATTTAGAGGACAGAAATACAGAAATACTTTAGGTGGAGGAGGAGAAAGCCCTAAGACTTTTTAAAAAATGAAGAAACTCTGAGAAATATTGGACTCTATTAGGAGATGCAACATGAGGATTATAGGAATTCCAGAGAGAGAAGACAGGGAGAAAGGTGCAGAGAGCTTGTACAAAGAAACAATAGCTGAGAACTTCCCAAACCTGGAGAAGGAGATGGACTCACAAGTATACAAACCCAATAGAACTCCTTATTACATCAATGCAAAAGTACCTTCTCCAAGGCATATAATAGTAAAACTGGCAAAAGTCAATGACAAGGGAAAAATATTAAGGGTTGCGAGGCAGAAGAGAGTAATCTACAAAGGAACCCCTATCAGGATTTCAGCGGATTTCTCAGCAGAAACCTTATAGGAGAGGAGATATTGGAATGATACATTCAAAACACTGAAAGACTAAAACTTTCAGCCAAGAATACTCTGTCCAATGAAACTATCCTTCAGATTTGATGGAGAAATAAAAGCTTTCCCAGATAAAGAAAAGCTGAGGGAGTTCATTGCCACTAGATCTCCTTATAAGAAATTATCAAAGATGCCCTCATACCTGAAACAAAAAGGTGAAGGTTTACAAAGCCTCGAGCAAGGAGATAAATAGACAGACAAAATCAGAAAATTGCAGTTCTCTATCAGAAGAGGTTAGCAAACACTTAATTATAACCTAAAAGATAAAGGGAAGGAAAGCATCATAAACAACAACGAACACTTCTTTTTTTTAAGGATTGGCACCTGAGCTAACTGTTGCCAATCTTCTTTTTTTTCTGCTTTTTCTCCCCGAATCCCCCAAGAATATAGTTGTATATTTTAGTTGTGGGTCCTTCTAGTTGTGGCATGTGGGACACCACCTCAACGTGGCCTGATGCCATGTCCACACTTAGGATCCAAACCAGTGAAACTCTGGGCCGCTGAAGCAGAGTGCACAAACTTAACCACTCGGCCATGGGGCTGGCCCCCAAACACTTCATTTTAATCACAAACTTACAACACAAGACAGAATAATTTGTGACAACAATAACTTAGAAGGGGAAGATGAAAAAGATGGAACCTGCTTAGGCTAATGGAGACAAGAGGCTATCAGAAAATGGACTATCTCATCTATGAGATCATTTATACAAACCTCATGGTGCCCACCAAACAAAAAGTCATAACAGAGACATAAATCATAAATAAAGGGAAATCTGGGAAAACCATCATAGAAAACCACCAAACTGAAATAGCAGTCAGAAATACAAGGGAAGAGAAACAAGGGAAATATAGAACAACCAGAAAACAAGAGATAAAATAGCAATATTAAGCCCTCATATATCAATAATCACTCTAAGTATAAATGGATTGAATTCTCCAGTCAAAAGACAAAGAGTGGCTGGATGGATTAAAAAACAAGACCCAACAATATGCTGCCTCCAGGAAACACATCTCAGCTCTAAAGACAAAAATAGGCTCACAGTGAAGGGATGGAAGATGATACTCCAAACAAATGGCAAACAAAAGAAAGCAGGTGCTGCCATGCTTATATCAGACAAAGCAGACTTCAAGACAAAAAAGACAATGAGAGACAAAGAGGGGCAGTATATAATGATAAAAAGGGACATTCCACCAAGAGGACATAACAGTTATGAATATATATGCACCTAAAACAGGAGCACCAAAGTGTATAAAGCAACTATTAACAGACCTAAAGCGAGAAATTGACAGCCACACAGTAATAGTAGGGGACCTCAACACCCCACTTAACTGATAGATCATCCAGACAGAAAGTCAACAAGGAAATAGTGGATTTAAATGAAACACTTGAGCAGATGGACTTAATATATATAGAACATTCAACCCAAAAACAGCATGTGGCTGGAAGTTTAGTTTTGGTTCTTGGTGGGAGGCCTCAGAATTTCCCCACAAAGGCTTCTTGTTTCCTCACCATGACTCCCCAGAGAGAACAATCCAGGAAACCAAGGCAGCAACTGCAATGTGGTTTATGACCTGACTTCACATACTTTCACTTCCACCACATCCTATCAGTCACACATGCCAGCTCTATTCAGTGCAACAGAGGGAAGCACACAAGCTTACAGATCTCAGGAAGCCAGGGTCACTGGGGCCATGTTCGAGGCTGGCTGCCACATCACCTGTTCTCTTTACTCTCTACTTCTGGAAGTCAACGTGAAAGATGTTGGACCTTCTCCTTCTGTCCTCCACATCTCTTGAACTATGTCATGTGTGCCTTTTTCCATCCTCTATTCTATATCCTAGGTATTGTTAGACCTTTCTTCCAGTGCACATTCCTTTCTGCCATGTCTAATACAATGTTCTACATGTCCAGTAAGGATTTGATATCACTGAGTGCACTTGTTTGTTTCTAGAAGTCATATTTAGTTCTTTCTCATCTGTTTTTTTTCCCCTCTGGAAGACTTTCCCTGAGCTAACATCTGTTGCCAATCTTCCTCTTTGTGTGCGTGTGTGTATTTGTGTGTGTGTGTGTGTGTGCATGTGAACCACCACGCCAGCATGGCCACTGACAGATGAGTGGTGTGGTTCCATGCCCAGGAACCAAACTTGGGCTGCTGAAGTGGAGTGTACCTAACTTAGCCACTAGGCCATGGGGGCTGGCCACAGTACTTTCTCATCTTTATGGTATTTTTTATATAGAATTTAATAAATGAGAAATATGATACAATATTTTCTTTTTAAGTGTCCATCTTTACATTTATGTAGTCATCCTGTAGTTGGAAGTCCCAGTGGCCTCAGTGCACTGTTTGTCTGAAAACTCTCACTCAGGACACCTGTGTCTGTCTCTGTTCAGCTGCTAGTCTTATGGGATTTCCTTCATGGGTAACTTGTTGCCTTTCTCTTGCAGCTTTTAGGATTCTCTCGTTATCTTTAATCCTTGACACTTTTAATTATAATATGTCTTGGTGTGGGCCTCTTTGGGTTCATCTTGTTTGGTGCTCTCTGTGCTTCCTGCACCTGGATGTCTGTTTGCTTCCTTAGGTTAGGAAAGTTTTCATCTATTATTTCTTTGAATAGATTCTCTGCTCCTTTGTCTCTCTCTTCTCTTTCTAGGACACCTATAATACAGATGTTAGTGTGCTTGATCTTGTCCCAGAGATCGCTTAGACTGTCCTCGTTCTTTTTAATTCTTTTTTTTTTTTTTTTCTGTTCAGCTTGGGTGATTTCCTCTAGACTTTTGTCCAGCTCACTGATCCATTCTTCTGTATCATCTCCTCTGCTACTGATTCCCTTTAGTGAATTTTTCATTTCCAGTACTGTACTCTTCATTTCTGATTGGTTCTTTTTTCATATTTTCCAATTCTTTGTTGAAGTTCTCACTGAATTCACCCATTCTTCTCCCAAGATCAGTGAGCATCTGTATAACTACTAGTTTGTACACTTTATCAGGTAGATTATTTATCTCTGTTTCATTTAGTTCTTTTTCTATTTGTCCTGTTCCCTTATTTGGGACATATTCCTTTGAATCCTTTGTTCTCTTTTGCCTCTTCTCTCTGTTTATATCTATGTATTATGTAGATCAGCTATATCTTCCAATCTTGGAGAAGTGGCCTTAT